TTCTTCAGGATCTTGGTGGCGCAGTCCAGAGCACTGGAATACTGGGTGGTGGTTTGCAGGCGGACCTTGACAATGTCTGTTCATTGTTAGGAGAACTCTCGGGTTGGAGAGAGAGAGGGTACCCACCAAAAGGTTGTCCTGTGCATTGTTAGTATGCGCTTTGAGTAGAGATTTGTGGTAGTGATGAGGGATAGTCAAGATAAGGCATGATAAAGCAATGCGCCAGCACATCTCTCACCGTAATGGGATACTCCGTATACGGAGGACATGTGCACGCAATTGCATCGGGGGTGGTATATGTATATGTTCAAAGAACATGAAGCGATGATTATGACGTACCAAGAAGCACCTGAGCAATTCCACCAGCAGCACCAGCACCCAAATCCTTGAGGGTGCGAAGGGTTCCGCCCCCCTTCTGCATGTCCTCGAATGCCTCGGACTCCATTGCGGGGAAGTATTACAGGTTCGGGAAACTGAAAGTTGAAAGGAGATCGAGTCGTAGAGCCTAAGACGGAATCGCACCGAACGACGCAGCTGATCTCTTAATCCCGAGAACCCAGGAGTCTTTGTACAGACAGGAAGAAGGAGGAAGAGACGGAGCTTATCAGAACGACGAGAAAGAAGAAGAGCGCAATTGATGTCGCGAGAGTGCTCGCCTCCGATTCGGCGATGGCGCCGAGCGCACGTGAGGCGGAAAACTGGCGGACCCGCGGGATGAGTCAGCAGGCGGCATACGGGCGGATACACCAGCGTTACTTTGGTTACTTACGGCGCCGATGTTCTTCTCCGCAGTTTTGGCGCCGAGGGTTTCGCTGTGAGCAACGACAATACATCATGCACAGACGGGCTGCTTTGGAAGTGAGTTGAATTTTCATTATAACATCACAGCTTTTGAGCTAATAGTCATCCTTTTCTTCCAGCTATCCCGTCGTCACGGTGTCGAATGGTCGTGCGCAACCGCCCGCAGAAATGCTGCCTTCACTCCCGTAGTAGGCTTGGTGCCTCGACGGCATTTTCGAATCTCTCCTCTTCGCCTCGATTCATCCGATTCTCCGCCATCAAACAGTCCTGGTGAACCAGTTGCAGGTACAAGCTCCGGCTCAGCACCTACGGGCCCGAAGTTCGGTAATCGTTGGGGAAGCAAAGCACAGAGACCGCTTGGGCTGAGTCCGGCGGAGCAGGCTATTCGAGACTCCTTAGTCGCAAAGAGGCAACAAGAAGAACAGCGACAGCAACAACAATTACAGAGACAAGAGCAAGACCGGCTGCGTAAAGAGAGGCAACAGCAATCGCAACAACGATGGAAGGAAGGGCGGTCCCAGGGCCGCACGGAAGAACAATGGCCGAGCACGAGATGGCGTGAAACTGGCTTCAAGCCCAGGCAATCCGATGCATTCCCCAGGCGCCGCTCGGGTCTTAACAGTGAGGACAAGGAAAGCCTGTCTCTACAGCCCGACAGGTCACTCGAAGTCAACGTCAACAAAGTGCCCAAGCACAAGCGGTCGACAGGCTGGACTTGTCCAGATTGTCAGACGAGATGTTACGGGCAGCATACCGTCTGCCCGCACTGCAAAGCACCCAGGCCAAACCTGCACGAGGGGCCGCAACGGCACCGGGGCTCACCCCGCCATCGCCACGCAGACGAGGAAGCTACAAAGATTCGAAAATTGGGCCAGTCTATTTTGTCTGATAAGGATAGCGGGAATGCTGAAGGGCTCGGCTCAAGGGAAACAGCGTTCAGAGGTTATATGGCAAGTCAAGGGCAATTTGCCGGTCCACGACCTGTGTTCGACTCTAATGTCGATAAAGAAATATCCGTCCAGGAAGCCAGGGAAGCAAGGAAAAAGGAAATAGAGGCAAGGAAAGAAGAGAGGGAGGCAAAGAAGGAAGAGAGGAAAGCGCAGCAGCAAGCAGAGGAAGACAAACAGGAAAAGAAAGCTAGTGACCCTTGGACCTGGGATCCGTCATCTTTGAAGAACATCAAAGTACGTGAAGATGATGTCCCGGAAACGAAACCGAAACGAAAGGCCAGTCGCAAGCAACGCGAGTCTGGTAGGGATGAGGAGGATTTATTTGACGAGGACGAGGAGTCTCAGCGCCGGAGGCGTCGCGAAGAGAAGAAGCGCTTGAAGAAGGAGAAAGCGCGCAAGAAGGAGATGCAAGCTAATGTCAGCCCTCTATATCTCCCCGAGTTCATCAGCGTCAGCAGTCTTGCAGACGTCATTGGCGTCCGTCCTGCACAGTTCGTTAAACGTATGGAGGATATGGGTTTCGACGACGTTACGTACGATCATGTCCTTGATGCCGAAACCGCCGGTCTGATCGCATCTGAATACAACTATGAACCCATTTTTGACAGTGGCGAGGGTGACTTGACCGCAGCGCCAGAGCCAGAAGACAAGTCAAGCTTACCTGTCAGGCCCCCGGTCGTGACGATCATGGGACATGTTGACCACGGCAAAACCACCATCCTAGACTGGCTTCGCAAGTCCTCGATTGTCGCAACGGAGCACGGAGGTATCACGCAGCACATTGGTGCATTCTCGGTGGCTATGCCTTCCGGAAAGACCATCACCTTCTTGGATACCCCTGGCCACGCTGCTTTCTTGGATATGCGCCGTCGTGGTGCGGACGTGACCGATATTGTGGTCCTTGTGGTTGCGGGGGATGACAGTGTTAAACCCCAAACGATTGAGGCAATTAAGCATGCCGCTTCTGCTAATGTCCCCATCATTGTTGCCATGAGCAAGATGGACAAGGAAGGCGTCAATCCCGACAGGGTGAAACAGGACCTCTCGATGCACGGTGTACACGTCGAGGATTTTGGTGGTGACGTACAAGCAATCGGCGTAAGTGGAAAGACCGGCCAGGGAATGCTGGAGCTTGAAGAAGCAATTATTACCTTGTCAGAGGTGCTCGACCACCGGGCTGACCCCCAGGGTAACGTCGAAGGATGGGTTATCGAGGGCACCACCAAGAGCTATGGCCGTGTAGCTACTGTACTTGTCCGGCGGGGAACACTCCGAACGGGAGATATCATTGTTGCTGGCACCACCTGGGCGCGCGTGCGCACACTTCGGAACGAAGCTGGTCAGACAATTCCCGAAGCCACTCCTGGCATGCCAGTGGAGGTTGATGGCTGGCGAGAACAGCCAGCGGCGGGCACCGAGCTTTTGCAGGCTGATGACGAGCAGCACGCTAAGAGCGTTGTGGACTACCGGTTGGAACGGGCTGAGACACAGAAACTGAGTGAAGACATGACCGCTATCAACGAAGCGCGTCGCGAAAAGCTTGAGAAACGCCGTCAAGAAGTGGCTGGCGCGGACCAGGCCGAGGAGACTGTACAATCCGGCCCCAAGCCAGTGCAATTTATCATCAAGGCCGACGTTGGTGGCTCGGCAGAGGCCGTTCTCAACTCGGTCACTGCTGTCGGTAACAACGAGGTGTACGCCAATGTACTTCGCTCCGAAGTAGGCCCGATTAGTGAGTTCGACATCGAGCACGCGGCCACGGCCAATGGCCACATTATCACGTTCAACATGCCTGTCGACCCTGTGATTTCTCGGATGGCCGAGAAGCGCGGCGTCAACATCATGAACCACAACGTAATTTACAAACTCATTGATGATGTCAAGAGCATCCTGAGCGAGCAGCTGGCACCAAACGTCAGCCAGCGTGTGACAGGAGAAGCAGAGATCGGACAGATCTTCGAAATCACGGTTAAGGGACGTAACAAGACAGCCATCGCAGGATGTAAGGTGCGCAACGGAATGATCAATCGGGCCAAGAAGGTCCGTGTGATCAGAGGTAATGAGACAATCTACGATGGTGAGTTGAATCCCTCAATGGGGTGTTACTTATGACAGTTGACTAACTGGCCGCAGGCTCAATCACGTCTCTAAAGAACGTCAAGAAGGACGTAACGGAGATGCGCAAAGACACGGAATGTGGTATCGGCTTCGATGGCTGGACCGACTTTGCCGTTGGCGACCACATCCAATGCTACGAGGAAGTCTTCGAGAAGAGATACCTCTGATCGACATTCCGGCTTCACATTCACACCCCCTTTTCCACTCTCAACTTCTGGCATCTGTATTTTTAGCGGACATCCATCGTCCACCTCTACATACATACCCCTTGGCTGTTACCATGTTTCTCATCTGCATGTCCCCAAAGCGTGTGGCTGAGCAACCCATTTTGTACAATACGATTCCGGGGATGAGCCTATACCAAAAGTACTACGCATCATCACCACCCGGATAGAAAGGAGTCTACAAATCAAAGTTCTATACCCATCTACAACGGCCGTCCACATTTACCCAACCCAACCCATGGTATCATATCCAAAACTACACGTAACCATCTACCTAGCCTTCCACCTCACTCTCCCCACCCACCTCGCCCAATCCATCACATCCTCCCTCTCACAAATCCTCTCAACAGTAAACCACTCCCTCGCCAACTCCTCATTACTCGCCATGCGATGCACAAAACTATGACACGCACGACACAACCACGCCACACTATTCAACCTCCACTCCTCATGCCACCCCTTCTTGACCACCTTGGCATGCACACTCCTCGGAATCAAATGATGATACGACAGCGGAATCCAATCCCGCTCACAGATCTCGCACGCATCCGTGCGCGTAGTCGCCCACACTGGCGGCGGCTTCGTCACCGACGCTACGTACTCGCCTAGTATCGGCGCGAGGAAATAGGGAATGTCGGAGGCCGATTCAATGACCGCGTACGCTGTTAGGGTATCTGTGATGGAGGCGGGTAGGGTGTGCGAGGTCCTTTCGGCGAGGTGTTGCGGGCTGTATTCTTTGTCACTTGTGAAGTCGGTGTTGGGGTCGTAGGTGAGGGTTTGGAGTGTTGGTGGTTGGAGTGATGGGAAGGTTTCTGTGGCTATGAACTGTTTTTTTGGTAGTGAAGAGAGGGGGAGAGGGGGAGGGGGTGGAATACCCCGCTCTCTCGCTCTCTCTTGTCTCCTCTCGGTGTTGTTAGTTGGGTGTTGTTGTTCTTGTGATAGTTGGATTTGGGCTAAGGTGTAGGCTACGCACGTCGATAAAGTCAGCGAGGTCTTCTGGATCTGTTTTGGTGAATTCATTTTGTTGGATCTGTTCTGCCTCTGGTTTTGGGTCTGCTCGACTGCTGGACTTCTGGCGCGGGGTTGTGCGCGGACGTCGCGCTTTCTTGGTTCGAGGTGTCGGAGAGAATTTCGCGACGATTGCGCTCGATACGCAATCGCGGAATATCTGGTAGTTTTCGCTGTCTGGCGCTGTCATTGTGGTTTCATTGGGAAGGTTGTTGGGTTGGTGTTTGTGGTGGTGAGGCGGTTGGGTCGATGAGTGAGGCCCTTGACATCATCGTCAATCGCCCTTTTTTACATCAGTAGTTGAGTTTACGGGAGCCGTGTTTCTTTCTTGTCTTCTTACGACCACATCTATTCGAGAGTCGATTGCGCTGGAACACTCAATTACATGATGGGGGATATTGTTCTTGCGTTCGACATCTACGGCACATTGCTCTCTTTCGAGGCTGTCACTCGTGAGCTGGAGCGCTTCTTGAATGACGGTGCCCGGGCCCGCACCGTGGCACAGACATGGAGACGCTACCAGCTTGAATACACCTTCAGGCTGAACAGCATGGGTATGTTGTAATGTTTTGTGGTCTCGCGGGTCTTGCTTCTACGTTGGCTAATCGTCTCATGCTTCAGGGCGCTATCTCACCTTCCTGGAAGTCACCAGGAATTCCCTTCTGCATGCCTTGGATGATACGGGTACCTCGTTGGGAGACAAGGAGATTGAGCATCTGATGGCGACCTACAATAGACTGACACCCTTTCCCGATGTCGAAGACGCTTTGAATCAACTTTCAGTCTTCCCGCAAGTCACTTCAGTTATCTTTTCAAATGGCACCCGGGGCATGATAGCCAATTGTGTGGAGAGCTCGACGGTTCTATCGCAGCACAAAACATTCTTTAGAGATGTTGTCAGCGTCGACGAAGTGAAGCAGTACAAGCCCGCTCCAGCAGTCTACAATTATCTGGCAAAGTGCGTCGGCCGGAACCAGTCGGAGATGAAGGATATCTGGCTAGTCAGTGGCAATCCATTTGACATTGCAGGCGCCCGCAATGTGGGTATGAATGCCATTTGGGTAGACCGGGCTGAGGCAAGCTGGGTCGACAAGGCGTTGCCTGATGTCAAGCCGACAGCAATCGTTCACCATCTGGGAGGGATTGTAGATGTGATCAAGCAACAATTGTCACCATAGCATCCTTACTGCTAGCACCTTTATAGGTTTTTTTTTTTTTACATAGGTTGAGAAATAGGCAACATGCCGAATTTTTCAAAAGTGATGTACCACTGTAAATATTTCCAAACGCTCCACGCTTGAGGAGGAGAATTCGGGGTAAGTCAGCGAGTTGCTCTGACCTTCTATTTCCCCTCCAAGGTTCCACGGTCAAGGAGCTCAGAGTGAATAAGAAGGTGTTCAGTTTATGTATGGAAGAAAAGAAAAGGAAAGGTTGAAGCGGGCGAAAATTTCAGCTTTATAGCTGTTCTTCACCGCCTGCTTATCGATAAGGTCTTGGCGGGCATGACGATGTTGAGGCCGTGCTCGGGTGTGTTTGTGCCTTGTCCGCATCGTTCTCCATCTCACACTTGCGCTCTTTTTCTGCTTTGATACAGACCCCTTTTCTACCAGCTGTCTTTTGGCGTTACAATCTCCTTTTGTTTATCTGATCATGCCACACAGACATATCGATACTACTAAAGCAGCGTGGTTATATCCCCTGCGGGTATGTTTGCCCATGTTGCTGCCTGTTCCCTTTTGTGACGTGAAACTGATTGTTTGGTCTTTCTACAGGGCATTTATTATTTTGCATCGCATCGCTACCTTTGGCCGCTTTTCAAGACTCGTTTGATCCCGATAGTTCTCCTGTCCGCTTTCATCTACGTCCTGCTCTTCCTATTTGCATATTTGCCTCAGGTGGCTTTCCTGTCCATCTTCCAGGGTGTCGGGGCCTGGATCAATGGCGCGTTCCTGGTTCTAGGAGAGGGGGCGGCCATTGTCGCTGCTCTCTTTGAAGCCTTCTTCGTTGATGAGACCCTCGTGGACATCTTCGATTCGGTGCTCGTGAGTGAGGGTCATGGCGAACTCGTCACCATGTCGAGGGTTTTGTACCCCCAGGGCGATGATGTCGTCAAACGGCTCGGCAAGCCCACCAAGAGCGCCGTTTATGCACCGTTTTCTCTACGGCAAATCGTGGAATTTATTGTGCTTCTACCGCTGAACTTTATTCCCGTGGCTGGAACACCCATGTTCCTCGTGCTGACCGGCTACCGGGCGGGCCCCTTCCACCATTGGCGATACTTTCAGCTGTTGGATCTTTCGAAACAACAGCGCAAAGAAAGGATTCGCCGCAGACAATTGCAATACACCACGTGGGTTTCAACCTTCTTTCCCCTGACACAAACCCCCTTGAAGATCAACCGAGGTTCATACTGACGCTCAACCACGAGGGAACCCAGATTTGGGACGGTGGCCCTGATACTTCAGTTGATCCCCATTTTGTCCATGTTCTTCCTGATGTCAACCGCGGTTGGATCTGCTCTCTGGACGGTGGATCTTGAAAACAAGCGCGATCTTTTGGGCAGGAGGCCCGCGCGAGATCCCGAAGGTCTCTATCGCGATGATTACAATGATGATGATGCTATGATTTAGATTGTGTTTTTCTTTTATTATTCTTTTTTCATTCTTGATGCCTCTTTAGCCTTTATTCCCGCTTCTCTTAGCGTCACCCGTCTTCTTCACTTCTATACTGCCCTTGTGGTTTCAACTACCTTGACAACTGTTGGGATATCAACGTACAGAATTACCGATTTTAATGTGGTCACACCGATGACCGGGTTTAACCGAGCCCTTCTTAGCGTCATGAATCATGAGTAGAGACTAGAGAGGGGGTCGGTAATAGTTCGATCGTTCCATTATTGCCATGGTTGGTCCCTGCGACAGGACGCAAAAAGACTGCCGACTCCACCTGCGGGCTTTTTCTAAGGTACTTTGGTAGACAGGGAGCCTTTGGCTGGTCGAGGATAACTAAATGTAATTAGTATCGGGGGGGTGGAAGTTAAGATTAGTGTGCGGCGGAGACGGACCGATTGGGAAGTAACCCCTGACGGGGCGAGACTTAGCAGCACTGTTAACAACTTAGCAAACCTTGCCGGCGCCCGACAGTGCTCCGATCCTATAGTAAGTAGTAACTGACTACGGAGACTAGACTATACTAAGTCTTCTCTACCACAGAGTTAAGAGTTCCGGATTTGTTACCCGCTTCTACTCCCAATTTGTGAGCAAATCAGGCACCGAATTCCTGACGGCACTTGCGACGATGGGAGTCTCAGTCGGTTCCCTCCATCGTCATCGTTGGCGCTCCGGCATAGTTGCTGCTTATTATTCCTCTTACCACTAACTAAGTTGATTAGCTATCTCACTAACTTAACTAGTTAACTGTCTTAGCCTCCTTCAATGCGACCCATCGCATTTTCTAGTTTCGTTGCCTCGGCTGCCCTTGAGCCTCAAGTTCCAGCATATCAACACACAGTCTCATTTGTAAGCGGGAAATGACGCGCAGCCACGTGATCTCCTCCCCGCCTGATTCGGAGTCTCGGTTCCTCCTTCTCCTCTTCTCTGATCGACACTCATCAATCAAGATATGACCCAAAACAACAGAGGAAATGATACTACGAAAGGGGATTCGACAGCAGACAATTGATAGCCTTGTACGAAGAGGAAGAAAATAAAACAGAAAAGAAAGGAAAAGAGTTACCAAGCAAACACATTCCGAGGCTCCATAAACGGCCATCACCGGTGAAGTGCAGGGCTCCGATTCCACCCGTCATTGGAGCCCCTCTTCTCGATCGACGGCGGAGTTTGGCCAAACTTAAGGTACCAGACTACTACTTCATCCACTATCTACTTTTGGCCCAGCCAACCTAAGCCGGCGTCCAGGCCTCCACCGGGCGGAGATATCCTGACCTGACCGGTGGTCGATATTGCATTAGGTCACTCTGGGGTCGCTTCTTTTGGGCTCACTGCTCATAATCTTAAAACTCAAAAGTTGAACGGTCGTGCGAAAACCGGCGATTCTAGTCTTGCCATCTTCCAATCCAACCCTTCTAGACTAAACCGCCGTCCCTTAATAATCTTCGAGCCTCGTTCGGGCGATCATCCTTCCAATTTCCCCCACAACAACTGGACCGTTCGCCCGATTGTACGGTCTTCGTGCACTAGCACTCTCTATTCTACTTCACCCCCCTGGTGCCCCCCTCCTCTCCGAGGTGCTGTTACTCGCTAGTGCCCGGGACTATCGGCCTACCTTAACTACTACTAGTCATTCCTGCTGCATCTTCTCCAGGTTTCCTTCGTCATTATCCCGCTATCCGTCTCCGACCCGCACTCGACAGTGCTGCTCTGTCCAGCATCTTGTGGTGTAGTATGCGCGGACGTCCTGGTCCGGGTCCGCGACAACTACCCTATGTTCTAGGCTTCTGAATGCGATTTAAATTAGCATGGGGATATCCGCTGTGTCCTTTACATGCTCATGGACCAACGAACCAGACTGCGTAAGGCTTGTGACGCCTGTAGTATTCGAAAAGTGAAGGTATACTACATGCAGCTGTCACTGTCCATGATAAAAGTGCAGTGTTGGCTAACTCTGCTCAGTGCGACACCAGCGGACCACCTTGTCGGTCATGCGCAAGCTTGGACATCCCTTGCACTTATGAACGACCGAGTCGACGTCGCGGTCCCCCTAACCGCCATGCAGAAGCATTCAAAAAGCAAAAACTAGCAGAGTCCCCTGCAGGCTCCCCAAGTCCATCAGACCATGCTACCCCGGGTCCTCCCGGGTCAGTGGGGAGCACCACCATCCCCTCGTCCACCCCAGCACCTTTGTCGGCGGAGTCCATTTGTTCTATGCCGACCCTGTGGCTATTAATAGACGATTTTTTCACCTACATCCATCCCTTAGTTCCTGTCCCTCATGAGCCCACGTTCCGCGCCGCATTGGAGCGGCGAGATGACCTTTCTAACCCTACCTTTTTGGCCCTCACGGCCGCCATGGTCGGGACACTGGTGGCGTCCTTTCCGCGGAGGCCCAAGCGGCATCTGAAGACGGAGGCGGAGAAGGCAGCATTTCCACACTCGATGGCATTGGTCAGGCGATGCCATGATGTTGCAGTCCAAGCTAGGGGCTACGGCTATCTGGATCGAAGCGCGACAGTGTACGATGCCGCAACTAGCTATTTCCTTGGACTTTGCGCAGGATATGTCTGGCACATGCGCCGATGTCGCGCATATTTCGCGGAATGCCTTACTATGATCCATGTGTATGACCTTTCTCGGCAGTCGAATCACTTTCGGGCAATGACTCCGCCAAGCCCCTCTTCCTCGTCGCGTTATTCGCAAGATCCTTTTGGCGGCGCGACCGCCGATCTTCACGTCGACATCATCGAGCAGGAGCTCGGACGACGCTTATTCTACACCACCATCGCCGGCTACCGGACGCTGCAGCAGCTTGGCTCCGGTGACGTGACTATCCATGTGCCTCCTGAAACTCCGACTTCGCGCTATCCTCCCTTGCCGCTCGAAGTGGATGATGAGTATATCTTCTCCACACATGTTGAACCACAACCATCTGATCGGATTTCTCTTCTGGTGGGCTTCAACGCCAACGTCCGGGTGTTCAGTTCGTATAATACTCTCTCCGCCTGGGAGACTGCGTTTGGGAGCGGCCAGGTCTTTGATTGGGAACGGCAGCGCTCTCTTGTGTGGGAATGTCTGCAAAAGGCTAAATCTGGCTTATCTAATGTTCCAAGAGAATTGGCTATCCAGCTATCTCAAGATCCCGAAATGGGCAACGGGCATGGCCAATACGAGACTACACCTCCTGTGGAGGATCCGCGGGCTCGTAAGCGCCATATGCAACTTCAGATTCAAAAGGCGAACATCTACGCGAGCCAGTTGGGCACCCGATCATACTTGGTAGAGAAATATTGGACCTTGTACGGGGCGTGGAAAATGCAGCGAAAACAATCCGACCAGCAAATTCCTGTCAGCCCCAGAACTACGATTAAGGTTGAAGGTGAGCCGCCGCAAAGTCTAGACACATACGATGCGGAAGCCCAATCAGATTATATTGGGAGGATGATGGCAGAAGAGCGTCGGGTGGTGATCCGGGATCTATTCATCTTGTTGCAATCGGTCAACGAGAGTAGTATGGAACCCAACGGCGGCAGTTTCGTATGCACCCTGTGTTTCCTTCAACTTGAACCGGGAGAACTGACCCCTTCATAGACCGCTAAAATCCGCCAAATCGCCTCCACATTACTCAACTTCCCGCACCATAGCATGATCACGCCCTCCACTTCTGGTCCCCAACCTTTAACATCCGCAGAAGCCGAAGCTTACCTTCGCGCGTTCATTGATACTCTTGTACGCCTAGAGGGGTTCAAATCCGGATCTAGCCAGGGCAAAAGCGGATCCAGTCCCGAGGTCCACCGACAATCCATCAGCTATTTGAGCGATCACAGCCGCGACGAAGAAGAGCTGCGCCAATGGGCCAGTCTGAAAGAATACCAGGCCAAGTTTGCCGAAGCAGGGGGCATGTTATCCGAACTGTAATGGACACGAAGGCATTTTTGAAGCTGACTTATTTCGCATCATTTATAGCTGGAGTTTCTGGAATGGGATACCGATTGCTTTATTCGTTTGGGAGGCGGGATACTGATTGTTAGCAAAGCTGGGGTGGCGACGGAGTTCAGTGTGTGTACTATTTGGGGCGGGAGTACGATTGAACGGCCTTGGTGTCTATATCTTTGTGTGTATTATTATAGAGTGTTTCATTGACTGTTTGGCTGTGTTATCTTTTGTGATGATACCTGTATCTGGGTTGTTGCATGGGTGGATGGATGATATGATTTGATATGTTGGAAGTATCTCGAATGAGAGAGATGACAAATAACAATGTGAATAAAGTGACTGATGTATACTACTACAAAATAAACAACATAAGCCAACCAATCGGGATCAAACCTGGAATTATATGTCAAGTTCATTATTACTTATATCTATAATCACTCCTAACCAGTTAATTCACATAACAACTAAATCAAGTACTCACACTCTCCGTCTCCGTAACCCTCTCCGTAACAGTCTCCGTCCTAGTCACCGTCTCCTTCTCCTTCTCCTTCTCCGTCACAGTCACAGTCTCCCTCTCCCTCTCCGTCACCGTAACAGTAACAGTAACAGGACCCGTAAGCGTCACAGGCACAATCCTAAGAACATCACCCGATTCACTAGACAGGGACGAAGTTACCGTAGGTATGGACGTGGACACATCCTCCCCAGTAGATTTCGTTGACGTTTGCTCTGCATCTAACGGAGTCGTCGTTGTCGTCGTCGTCGACATTTTCTCTCCCTCAGATGTTGTTGTTGATGTGGTGGTAGTGGTAGGGACAGTTTCCGAAGTTGGGGTGGGTTTATCAACCACAGTAACGATAGCAGTAGCAATGGTGGTGGAATCATAGGTTTGTTCGGAGGTGGGTGTATCTGTGATTACTACGTAGATTGTTTGCATGGTTGTTGATGTGGAGTGGAGGGTGGTTGGGGTTGTGGTTGGGTTGATTGTTGTGAGGGATGATGTGGATGTTGATGTGGTGTCTGGGTTAGAGGGTATGAAGGAGGAGGTTCCAATGACTGTTGTTGATCCTTCGGGTGTGACTAGTACGACGACTGGGGTTGGGGCTGAGGTTGTAGTTGTGGTTGTGGTGGCGTCTTCTGTTTCTGGTGTGGGGGTGGTTGTTGTGGTTGTATCCACTCGGTTTGTTGTCTGGGTGGTCTTGGTTGTGGTTGTGCTTGTCGTGGGTATGGTCACCCCGATGAAGGGTTTGGCTGTGTGGGAGCTTGGTGTGGTTGTCTGACTTTCAGTGGGTGTTGATGAGGTGTCCTCGGCTGTAGTTGTTGTGCTCTCGCTGGAGTGTGAGGTGGAGGATGACATTTCGGGCATTGAGGAAGAGCTGGTACTGGCTTCTGGGAGAGGCGTGATGACTCCAATCGTGAAGCTGGTGGACGTTGATGTCTCGGAGGTGTGGGATGATGTAGTGCTCTCTGGAGCAGCGCTTGATGATGCGGGTGCAATAGTTGAGGAATGTAGTAGTTTACTAGATGATGCGATTGTCACCTGGGGTGATGGAGATGCTTTTGACATCTCTGCTGCTGTGCTGGAGGAGTGTGATACTCTGGCAGTAGAGGATGACGTCTCGTGCAGGATGTGAGAAGAAGTTGCTGCGTGAGATGACGAGGCTTCCATTGGACCTCCCGGCATGGCACTTGAGGGAGTTACAATATGGGAGCTCTCTGAATGAGTGCTGGAGCGTATTGTGATATGCACCACCTGCGACGAAGAACTTGTCGTATGAGAGCTTGGAACTGCACTCGCGGGAGGCGAGTAGGGTGCTGAAGATGAAGGTGTAGTTGTGGTAGTAGTTGTAGTTGTAGTCGTTGAAGTCAGCGACAAGATAGTCACGGTGCTGTCTGATGAGACACTTGTAGATAACGAGTGTGTAGCTGCAGAGGAAGACTCGAAGAGAGAGGTAGTTGAGTCGACATGAGTAGAAGTAGTCGGAGATACCTGAACGAACGCAGCTGAGCTGGATGACGCCGGCTCAACGGTAGTGCTAGAGCTGGATGCAGTCTGAGGCAGACTGGAGGGTGTAACCGGAACTACAGTCAAAGCGTTGATCTCATCGTCGTCATCGTCATCGACCGAAGGACTGGCAACGTGCATATAAGGTGTAGTGAGCGAAGGAGATGGGGAGCGCGACTCCAGGTCTCTCTTGGCAGCAAAAGGAGCAATCGGACCAGCCGCACAGCAAAAGACCAGGAAGAAGGTCACGAGGATCACTGGTATGAGCGACATTATCTCGTCTGCTGGTGGAATTATGCAGTCGAAATAGTATTGATTCAAGATTATGTATGTATGTCAAGGAGATGTAAAGAGGACAAATAAACGAGCAGTCAAAGAGAGTATGCAAAGATAAATAGCTGACCACGCTGCATTGACATGTATTGGCAAGTTCAGAAGCGACAGAGATTCATCTTTGACTCCAATTAATATCTAGAAACATCGAAAGAGTGAAGGTGAGGAAATAGTAAAGAAGGACAATCAAGAAGATGGATGATGCAGAGCGAATGAGGGTTAGACAAGAGAAAGACCGTGTTTAAGAAAGCCAAGCGATGAAAGCGCCCACCCGTCATCTCTTTATTTAGTTTATGCCACGGCCTGGACCGTCATCAAGTGCAGCTTGACATGAAACACTCCGACAGTCCAGTTTGCTGTTGTGGGACTCGAAGTTGGGATCGGTTGGCTGGCGAGAGTCGAGTTGGCGCGCGACAAAGAAGTGACGGCTGGGATGTTGCAGCACCCGCCCCGGTTGGGCAACATTTCCCATTCATTGGCAACCGTGTCAAGTCTTGCAGAACAGTGGATCATACCAATCTTTCTACTGAGCTCTTATGAATGGATCTCGCCATGTCCGAGCATACGCCTCACAAGCTAAGCCACCTTCTTGTGCCAGCCAGGGCACGGCTTGACTGGCTGAGATGCAGCCAACCACCAAGCAGCAAGAGATCGAAATATCCATTGCGAGAAAATGAATAATATTGACTTGGCTATAGTCCCATGCTACTGTTAGATTATTCCTACTTTCATATACGTCCTGGTTCCGTCCCATAAGCCTCACTCCTTGCCACTTGAGCCAGCCTCCACCAAGATAGTATAGGCCAGCCCTCAGCCGACTGCAACCGTAAACGCTTCGCTTATTCCCTCAAAGGACGATATCTTACCTTGCACACTTCTTGAGTCGCCGTAATAGTGGAGACGATATGTTCCACTCTGAATGGGATTTGGATTCCCCGTGTCATAATACTCGTCCTCGATCTGCCATTGGAGAGTGACCTCGCTATACCCCAAAATCGTACTCGTTCTCTCCCAGTTATACAGAAGGTTCCAGTCGCTGTCAGTACGCACAACATCCCATGACCCGGTAGCTGAGTTGTACCTCTCCACAGCCGCAAAGGTCGACTCTTGTCGTAGGTTATTGCGGGGGTTTGCCCCCACAAATGTGACATTTACCATGTCTCCAGGCCCGTAAGTGACATTTGCCGACGAGGATACAATATCCCCAAATGCTTTGCTGATTGGTGATCCGTCATATATAACTGAGGGAATAAAGCTTAGTGACTTGTTGGTATTGACGGGAGGTATCTTCCCGGAGGATAGCGACGGCAGGCTGCCCGCCTGGGCTGACTTGCCCAGGTACGGCAAATACGTAAGGGTTAGGTTGATGTATGCTGCAAGTGTATTGGGGCCGTACAGAGTCGAGGCCCCTTCGTAGCGCTGCACTCCGTATTCCTCCTCCGTGGCTACGTAATGAGCATAGCTGTTGGACGGCGCACCTAGAACCACCAGAGGGTCTGCCACTCCAAGAACTTCTTTCGCAGAGCTACCAATCGCTTCTTTCCAACGTCTCCCAGACATGGTGGTGGCTTCGCTTGTCGAGATGACAATGAATAGCTGACCCACTCTCAGGACCTGAATGTCCACAATATTAGGTGTCCAGGCGTACGGCTGTGTGATTGGTCCCACATCGAGAAGGACTTGCTTCGGCGCTTGACACGCCTGCTGCTCTTTTGACGGCTGGTGCAAGAAAGCGCGAGCAACATACCACAGAGGGTTAGAATCGGCTGGTCCCGTGCCATTCTGGGTGAAGTCGAAGAATCCTGGCCCGTCCGTGGTGCCGGCTGCAAACGAGAATCCCAATGCGGCAGGACACGTCTTTAGAGTACTACCATTAAACGGCGACGTAAAAGTGTAATTGGACAGGTCCTGATAAGTATGGAATGAGCGGACATCGGCGCCTGAAAGAATCCGAACAGGATTGGAATCTAAATTGGCGTAGAGTTCTTTCGCAGCCGCGTATTGTCGCCGTCCAATCTCGAAGCAGCTCTTTGCGCCGTTGTCCTTCTCGCGAAAATAAGGTCCACGGCCGTGGCAATCCTCCGTCTTCCCGCCACAGGTGCTATCTTCATATCGGCATTGTTGTTCAGAGCCATCCTCACACCAAGCTCCTAACACATTCGGGCTGGTATCGCCGACATTTGACTGAGAAAAGCCTGCGACAAAGTCATCGGAGAATTTTTGGTCGCCTTTGACACTGCGCTCAAAGAGCCACGCGGCCACACCCTTGTTGTCCCCGGTGATCAGGGTATTATTATTGTATAAAGATGTACCATGTACGGGGAAGAAGGTCAGTATGGCAGTGGTCTTGTTGTCGGATTCTCGATCAAATCTCAACAAAGTCAGCGTCTTGTCCACATTCGCCGAGTACCGAGCTTTCTCTTCTGCAGGATTGGCGTCATAAGCGTAGGGGCTTCTATTGATGTTGGCATCTTCTAGGTCAATGGACCCAAAGCTGAGACGTCCGGGTGCTAGACCTTCATGGGCCCGCTTGATTGAGAGGAGGACACCATCAATAATCGCCTGATAGCTCTGTTTATCAAAGCCTTTGGTGGGGATTTGAGGAAGAAGGTAATTCATCCAGGCACCGGGGCCTGAATGAGAGTGAGTCCCAGTAAGGGCGACGTTCTGCTCGGTGTATCGAGCATAGTCGCTGCCCAGGCTAGCAAGGCCATCAAGTACACCATGGCGCACGGCAGTGTCCCCGGTCAGAGCATCCAAGATAAGGTAGATGAAAGTGTCATCGGGATTATCATTATTGGCCACAATGAAAGCCCGAGAGTAGATTCTCTGCCGAAGACCAGTCCCAATCTGGTCCAAGCTAGCATAGCCATTCATCCCTAACTCAACAACAGGCCTAGCAGACAATGTATCAGCATCCATGCAGCACTGGTAGGATAAAAGTAGTCTACCCCGTTATATCCGCCTTTCCTGCGCCTAGCAAGAAAATATCATCGTTGCTTGCCTCGGTTGCAGCAGCTCTGTGCGCCCATTTAGGCTGTGTACCGACAATGAGTGGCTGGCTCTGGTGCTGAAACAGTGAGAACAGTTGCAGCAACACAAGTGCTGTTGCCACGCTGCTGGCCAAAGCCACACCCAGCCTGAAGTTCGCCATTCCACCGAGATAAGGCATGAGCTCTAGGAGCGTTGCAGTGCCAGAGAGCCTTCAGCCTGTCCACGGGGATGCGCACTTCTTATTGCAAGCAGGAAACGACCGAGGCAGGAGCTATCACAAGGCATGCCCGGCTAATTTGCAACGACGGCTCCGGGGATGACACTGCAGGGTCTCTGCAACCTTGCGGGGAGGATGCGGAAGAGGCGCGATTGGTGAAGAAGGCTATTGGAATGTAGGAGAAAGGGTCTGGTCCGTTCCCGTCGTCATCCGTGGCTAAGCTTGATCAGGAATGTTCTATCCAGCCCCGCGTCGACTAACTGCAAGAATAGAAGTTTAGCATCGGCTCTGAAGATGGATGACATGCGGTTGGCTGGTTGAGTCATCATCATTGCAACTCTGTCAAGGTCATAGGCGGGGAACTGGCCAGTCAGGGACCAGCCCTGCCCTGTCACAAGGGACCCTGTAGATCGCATGAACCTCGTCTGATAGAGAAGCCTAGGCTAAGCCTCCAGAGAAGTGGAGAAGAGGCCCGCCTTGCCTAAAGATCCGGGAAAGTGATGTTCGTGTGGAGAATGAAGGAGGAAAGGAGACGTCTTTGTCGCAGCTGGACGAGATTCATCTATACTTGGGTGGCCCGAAACGGTTTAGCCCCAACACCCCGGATCATCTCCGGCAGAAAATGCTGAGTCATCCAATAATACTCACCGCCCTCCTGTGCTCGGCGCAAAAGCTGAGACGCTCATGACGAGCTGCTGCTGCTGGCACTGTCCGATCTTATACAAGATATCACTTCGCATTGGCCCCTGCCTCTTCTAGCTCCTCGTTAACCAGTCCTAATACGCAGGCTCAAGTCAACATGCCCCTCATCAACGAATCCCACGATTCACTTCCTTGTAAGCTGCCTTACCTCTGCTATGAGTTCCCATCTAACGCGTGGACCTTCATTAGACATCGAACCGGCCCCTTCCACCCAGGCACGAGCAGCTGCAGAGAAGCTAATTGCTGCGGAACTTTCGTTGGATGCCAAAACTACTATCCACCCGTCCATTCCTGCTTTTCCTGAGTCGCGGTTTTCTCCTCTCATCCAACAGGAGGTGGACCGCAAGGCTGCTGGATTGCCCTTGACCGGCGGAATCGACCTCTCCCGCTATGAAGCGCCTGAGGCTCCTGCTAAAGCCGCTGACGGAACCCCCGACCTCGAGGAATGGCAACGGACACTGCAGAAGGCTTACACGGCCAGCTCCCATTTGTCAATGCGGCACGAGAATCTGGCACTGCTAGAAGAGAATGGAAAGAACGCGTGGTTGATTGGCAATTCGCAGTTGGAAGACATCCTACGGGGGCTTGAGAAGGAACTGGCTGAGATGAAGGTGGCCGCTGAGTCAGTGAACAAGGAGAGAAAGCTCGCCCAGGAAGCCAACAAGGGAGAAATTGTGGGGCTGGAGGAGACATGGAAGCGTGGTGTTGGTGCAATCCTCGACACGGAATTGGCTGCAGAGGGCCTGCGCTTGCAGATTTTGGAGCAGAGACGTCAACTGGCGCAGCAGCATGCGCAGCAGTAAAGGGGGTTTTCCGTCAACCTACATTTCTCAGGACGGAGACTCGCTCGACCAGGGTGTAAGCAGTCGCACTGTTGGCCGGGTGAAAGGAGGGCATTGCTTGGTAGAGAAGCCGCTTTGGTAATGGGCGAGTTACCCAGCTGCCTGGGGCGTAAAATGCAGCTTCTGCGGTTGTCATTGGGCCTGACCCAAAGTTGAACACGACAAGGACGACGCTGTATTCGGCCCATATAAGACCATGGTTAAAATCAACTGGGATGATCATTGGCGTTAGGACAAGACTTGGTGGCGATGGCCGCAGGCGGGGAAACACCCAGCATTTGCCATTCCCCGCACGCACCACGACAAGATCGAGGCCATTGGCACGTCGTCACCACTGCCTCAGCTCTGTTGCCAACAAAAGCGACTCCGCTTAATACAAGCAATTAATGCCTGGGAATGAGGGTGAGAAGGAACAATTTTTCCGTCCGTGGCTATCCGGTCAATCCACCTCGATGATTGGTGTTGCGTTTGGCCTGGCGCCGGATTCGTCTCTCTATCCCAGTCCGCCGCGACAGCAACCATTGGAGGATGGTCTGCAAGCTCCCAGCTGACCTGTACAAGGTACGCTTGGGCTGTCGCTGAGCTTCATGTTTGAACTGATCGCTGGCTGGCGAGACCATCTCCTGCTCGATTGGCATCCTGCTTGGCGTTCTCACTGTCAAGATCTGCTCTTTGCCGTCGCAAACTCAATCCAATCGTCCATTACCGGCAGGAGCCAAGATACACCATTAGAATAGGCTCCCGTATGTCCATCCCGTACATAGATTAATCCACCTTTTATATCGATATATCTCAGACAACTCACTGCATGCACTATGCACGACCCCCTCTCGCCGTGCGGGGAATCTGCGGGAAGCATTCTGTACTTTTGTACCTCTATACCAAAATGAAGGTTGTATACCGTGTACCATAGTCTCTCGCAGTTCTCTTTGTTCCTTGTATGACTTGGACGGTCCAAATGCTGGTTCACATCCTTGTCAGGACTCGTATGCAAGAGGGGTTCTACATAGTGGTGCGGGGATGTATATCTTGGTCCATAGAATTGCCTACCATGTTGAGGAGGTGCTGCATCATGGGTTTGCAGGGTTGCCAGCATATAAATCGGCCTCTGGGATGCCAATTCCCCGCAGTTTCTATCTTTTTTTGTGAATAACACGCTTTTCCACTCACAATTTCTACTATCCATACGTAGTCAATCATACCCATCATGACCATCCCAGAGGAAGTGGACATCATTGTCTGCGGTGGTGGCAGCACCGGCTGCGTGATCGCCGGTCGACTTGCCAACCTGGACCATAATCTCCAGGTCCTGCTGATCGAAGCTGGTGAAGACAACCTGAACAACCCATGGTAGGTTGGACATTGTCACCTTAACTTCCCGGGGCTACCCCTAACCATGCCCTAGGGTCTATCGCCCCGGTATCTACCCCCGGAACATGAAGCTTGACTCGAAGACAGCTTCCTTCTACTACTCCCGGCCTTCGGAATGGCTTGATGGCCGTCGGGCTGTTGTTCCATGTGCCCATGTTCTCGGAGGAGGCAGTTCTATCAACTTCATGGTTAGCTATGCTTGCTCAACCCCCATCTAGCACAGCACGATACACCCTAACAGTCAAGTAGATGTACACTCGAGCCTCTGCCTCCGATTACGACGACTTCCAGGCCAAAGGCTGGACGACAGACGAGCTTCTTCCCTTGATGAGAAAGCACGAGACATACCAACGGGCCTGCAACAACCGGGACATCCATGGCTTCGATGGACCCATCAAGGTGTCATTCGGAAACTACACGTATCCCATCATGCAAGACTTCCTGCGTGCTGCCGAGTCGCAGGACATTCCTGTCACGGATGATCTTCAGGACCTGAAGACAGGGTGAGGCACTTATACCTCGAATGTAAATGTGTACCTAACTTGCTGCTAACAACATGTGCAGCCACGGAGCCGAGCACTGGCTGAAATGGATCAACCGCGACACGGGTATGTCAACATGATCCCCACATCATATAGATAGTAGAGAGACTAATAACCCACATCCAGGCCGCCGCAGCGACTCTGCCCACGCCTACGTCCACAGCACCCGGGCCAAGTACTCCAACCTGCACCTCAAGTGCAACACCAAAGTAGACAAAGTAATCATTGAGAACGGCCGCGCCGTCGGCGTCGCCACCGTTCCCACCAAGCCCCTCGCAGGCCGCGATCCCCCGCGGACCATCTTCAGAGCCCGCAAACAGATCATCGTCAGCGGCGGCACCCTCAGCTCTCCTCTCATCCTCCAGAGGTCTGGTGTCGGTGACCCCGAGAAGCTCCGTCGTGCTGGCGTGCAGCCTCTCGTGAACCTCCCAGGTGTGGGACGGAACTTCCAAGACCACTACCTGACATTCTCCGTCTTCCGGGCGAAGCCTGAAGTTGAGTCCTTCGATGACTTTGTCCGCGGAGACCCCGAAGTGCAGAAGAAGGTCTTCGAGGAATGGAACATCAAGGGCACGGGACCTCTAGCGACGAATGGAATCGAAGCCGGTGTGAAAATCCGGCCGGATGCAAAGGAACTAGAGGAGATGAAGAGTTGGCCCACGAATGACTTTTACAAAGGCTGGGAGAGTTACTTTAAGAATAAGCCGGACAAGCCGGTGATGCATTACTCTGTTATTGCTGGGTAGCTACCAATCCCCTCATACCCCCAAACATATACAAGATACCAACTGACATTTGATAGCTGGTTCGGCGACCACATGCTCATGCCCCCAGGCAAATTCTTCACCATGTTCCACTTCCTCGTGAGTATCCCTCCCTCTATATCTTCACCAATCCTAAACTCACCCATTAATCAATCAACCAACAGGAATACCCCTTCTCCCGGGGCTCCACGCACATCCAATCCGCCGACCCCTACGAAAGCCCCGACTTCGACGCCGGCTTCATGAACGACAAGCGCGACATGGCCCCCATGGTCTGGGGATACATCAAGTCGCGCGAGACTGCCCGACGGATGGGCGCCTACGCAGGTGAAGTGACAGGCATGCACCCTCACTTTTCGTATGACTCGCCCGCGCGAGCATTCGATTTGGACCTGGAGACGACGAAGGCGTATGCGGGGCCGAACCATATTTCTGCTGGGATTCAACATGGTACGTCACACCTTCTTCTTTCCTATATATATAGGACTACTAGGTGAAGTAGTCCCCATGAGAAGAATACTTACTAACATTATGTGTGTGTCCGTGTCCGAAATAAAGGCTCCTGGTCCCAACCCCTCGAACCGGGCACTTCGCCCGCATCACCTACAAGGCTCAACTCCAATAAGCAGGATACAAGGGAGGAGATCAAGTATAGTAAGAAGGATATTGAACATATTGAGAAGTGGGGTGCGTATCCCTTCCTACACAGCCCCCTCCCTCTAACAATCCCATACCATTAAACTGACTAATGACTGAATGGATGATCAGTCCAACGCCACGTCGAAACAACCTGGCACTCCCTCGGAACCTGCAGCATGGCGCCCCGCGAAGGCAACAATCTCACGCCGCATGGGGGAGTCGTCGATGAACGACTCAATGTGCATGGTGTGCAGGGGCTCAAGGTGGCTGATTTGTCCATTTGTCCGGATAATGTGGGGTGTAATACTTATAGTGTCAGTTTCCCCTTCCCACCTCTTCCTCCCTTCATCCTTTCTTTGTAGTAAGTGGGTTATATGCTAATGTGTGGTGGGTGTTAGACCGCCCTGCTTATCGGAGAGAAATGCGCTGTCTTGACGGCCGAGGATCTGGGTTACTCGGGTAAGGCGTTGGATATGAAGGTTCCGGAGTATCATGCGCCTGGGGAGGTGACGTTTTTGTCGAGGTTGTGAGGGGAGGAGTATACCTTCTTGAGGTGGGGCGTAGTTGTGCTTTGTTTTAGTTGATTGAGTAGGATGAAATTCGCATAAGTTGTTGGATTCAGATGAATTGTTCAGCAGTAAGACAATAGAATGATAGTTATTCTCGATAGTAATACAATTTGTTGGAATACAAACAAGCATTCATGGATATTTTAGAATGAACTACAACTTCTCCGGAGGAACCACCAAATTCACATCCACTCCCTCCTCACTCACATTGATCACCCCCTTTGCCGCAACCTCTGTAACCTCCGCAACCTTCTTCTGGTCCGCCTCACGGTTCCACACCTCCAGGTGCTTGCACATACCATACATCGTCGTGATCGGAGGCGCATACCCCAGCCCGCCCTGTTCTGGCGACTTGCGCGCGCGCGAATCATCCGCAATGTAATGCACATTTGTGATGGAGAAAAGAGCAGGCTGCATCTTGGCGATTTCTCCGGTGATTCTAGGGAGCCAGGGGAAGTAAACGACCTGCAGGAAGGAGTACCATTCGATGAGGTAGGACAGGATGAGGAAAGGGACGGGTGGGACGCGAGGGAAGTTGGCGGGTGTTTTGGAGAGGGTGTGCAAGAGACGATAGACGTCGCCGTAGGTGGGGGCAGGGTTGGGATCTGTGACTAGGAAGGATTGGCCACCGATATTGGGGAGTGTGGTAGGACTGTTGGTGTGCTCGATAAGGCGCTGTTCGTAGAGTAGGTGGGCGATGGAGACGTTTTCGGCGTTGACGAAGTTTTGCATGGTGTCGATGAGCCAGCTGATAGGGTAGTTAGTGTTTGATCTTCTGCAAAGGTTACTACTGGAGGCTAGTAGGGCTGTCTTACGCAGGGGAACCGCCAGATCTGAGATATGATGTGGTGAGAGAGCCTTCCGTGTCGCCGATCCCGTAGATGCCATTCGCCGGCCGGATGCAGCCTGTGCGGAAGTTTCCTTCGAGATCGTCGGCAGCGCGGACGATCTTCTCAGCCTTGGATTTGGAGACGGCATAGTTGCTGAAGAAGTCGTAGTGTTCTTCCGGGACTGGGGTCGAGTCATCGACTACCTGGATATGACCCTTGGGGGACTTGTTCCAGGGTGCGATCCAGAAGGATTGACTACGGAGACTGACAGATCCTGAGGATGTCGAGATGAGGCAGCTTGCGCCGGCTTTCTTCGCCGCAGCCAGGACGTTTACTGTGCCGCCCACGTTGACGTCGGTGCAACGGGGAAGGAAAGTCTTGAGACGCTCTCCAGGCCTGATCACGGCGGCATTGTGGAAGACGGTCAGGGGCCGATCAGCGACAGCTTCCGGCCAACGTTGTGCGAAAGCAGTGGACACGGCCTTCTCGTCGGCAATATTCGTCTTGAAGAAAGCGACACCCTGGTCGAGGATCTCGCGACGAGGTTCTGCAAGGTCCAAGATACGGATAGCCGACGGGTCTTCGCCGCGAGCGAGCAGATGGTTGACCATCCAACTTCCCACGAAGCCTGGAACTGTTAGCTTTGGAACTGTAAATATGGAAATCGCATAAGGCAGTCTCATTGAAATACATCATGAGGATGCCTTTATAGCTAGAACGCACCTGCCCCACCGACCACAATGTAGCGCCGGTTCTGCTTCGGGGAAAGACTCTTTTGCACATCGACTGGATTTTTGATAGAATCCTCGTATGCTGCTTTGATTTCATCGACAGTCCAACGATGAGGAGACAGCCGGCTTACTTCCTCCGGTGTACCGGTCATACCACGGTTGACGTGGCAGAGGTAGAGGACAGCTAGTCCGGAGGCAACGGCGATCTCTGAGAACATGTCGAAATGGCAGCTCTAGGCTGAAACGTGTAGTAAAGGAGGTATGCGATGTAGACAGCAGGATAAAGGACAGTCAGATCTTTCTTATTGCAGCGAAGTTAGCACTTTTACCCTGTAGATCTATCCCTTTGCGAACACGCAGCAGAAAGCAATGCTGTTGCAACAGAGGAAATGATTTAGAATCAGTCTATTTCAGGTACAAGAGTATTGCTCAGCCATAAATCTCATCACTAACTTACAATCTCGCGTGGCTAAGCCTTAAAGCCACCATCCATGGGTCCCAGGAATCCAAGCGAACGGAGATTAATAGTTCGGGATTGGACCGTTCGGTTAGACGAGTCAGGCCCACATGTCATTCGGTCAGTGGCCAGGCGTAAGTTCGTTAAGGGGTAAGGAACCTATCAAGAAGAAAGTTCCTCTGTCAACCAGCCACTAAAGCATAAAACGGTTCGATAAATTTGATGCATCCCCTGATTCCGAGTTGCATTAGCAGGAGATGGCCTCCACGTGCCGGCGCCGGGCCAAAAGCAAGCAAAATGGTCCGATTCGGTTGATTTGTGACACCTTCGGAAAATTTGATGGCGCGGTCAGGGGCTGAGACATTAATGACGACCGGATTTATTGACAGCCGAAAGGCTCATTCATTGTGATTTAGAAGGTAAGTTGTAAGCATCTCAACTGCCATATACTTCAACACAGCCAAGAGTACTCCGTACACGCTCTTTAATTGGACGATGCATGCTGCAGGTGTCTGTAAGCACCCAATTCATAGTAGATCTGATGCTGTACACCTTTGCGACCACAATGAAGGATATAGTCCTTCGTTCGCATCAAGGACTACGCTTGACTTATCATATAGGAATCATATCGCAGGGTTGACTACTTCGTGATTGTGATTATTGTCTGGCAGAAGATTCAACAGCCATTTCGGTATTCTTTCCGAGCGGTGGGTCGGGCTTATCTCCGCAATTCCGAGCGTGTCTCTCCCTCTACGATATGGCCGAGATAGAGATGAATTGGAGGCGTATACAAAGGTATACCGATAAGAACTGTGTTTTACTCTTATCGCCTGCAACGGACTATCAGCGAGCAAACATACACTGTGGATTTTCACACACGAGTGCCTACTGATGAACCCAGTCGGTTATCTAGGGATCAAAGATGAAAGCGTACGTCTACACAGTAAGCCTCTAGCATGCTTGTTCTTAGTAGGCAGCTCTTCCTTGCTACTCCAGCATCTGACGGCATTGACATACATGCTCCTCGCTCCATTTGGTCGCCCTCGTGCCTTTGAAGTTTGAGCTATGGCCACCATAACATATGTACCGTCGTTTGCATGGCCCGTGCAATGAGTTTCCCACCGGGGCCACAGTCTCAAATATTGCATTTTGGATCCCTAAATATAGGTCCTTATCCTTACCAGAACATGATCGTATACACGGCACCATCCTTGATCCGTCGGTAGCATGCTCTGACGAATCCTAACATTCCTCATGAATGTGGTATGGGGCTGGTCTTGGCACGTGTTGAGTCACCTCTTTGGGCTCGCGCAGGAACTGCACAATTGCCAGCACTGAAGACACGAATCATGTCCTCGCTCGAGATGAATATAGATGACGGCATGGTTACCTATCATATTTGGACCTGCAACGTCCGCTCGGAACACGGGCCGCTGGGTGGTGGCCGCCAGAATCAGCATGGATACCTAAAAAGAAGGGCGCAGATGTTCTGGATTGCAAAAACAGAGTTTCGCACAGGATCGTCCTGGTTGTTGCCAGAGTTTATCGGCAAACCGGCACGGGCGGCACTCGGAACCGAGCCCTGAACTGTGACTGGGTCATGCCTCCCCCCGCCCTGTGCTTGACATTTTCTAGTGGACTGGCTCCCTCAGGGTAAGGAAGACGTAAATGCTTCTCCTCTTTGGTGTGGAGCTGGCCGCGTTCAGAATTATCGTCTTTCGACATGGTGGTGGGGACTGGGCTTCGTTTGCGACTGTGCATCCGCCGTTTTCGCCAGAAATCCACCGCAGTGGGGATGCTTATTCATGCGGTGGTGACGTCCAGGACTTATCTCCAGTTTTCTCCCCATCTGGAGCAAATTAGGGATCCTGGGGTAGGTAGATCAGCCTGGCGTAACAGGGTCTGTTAGTGACGGCCATAGTCACGACAGGTATCCATGCAGAGAGGCACTTGTAAACTTGCGATGCATGCCCATGATTCCACATCACACTGTGTCCTATGCAGATCACGCCCTGTAGGTGACGAATAGCCAGCTCTAGGTACGAGCTAAGTGCGATTGGGCGGGCCTCGTATGCCGTAGCGCAATTTGAATCAGAATTCTCCTGCTACACCGTAACGCCATGCCAGTCCGTGCTGCGAGAGAGGTCAGTCACTGAGGCATTATTTCCCCCCAACACGACTGGGTAGTAAATAGTCAGGACTAAAAAGGATATTAACTCACTGAATGGACATGCGACCTGCCTCGGCGAGTCAATAATAGGGGATCATCAGCCGCGTCTAACCATGGATTCCCATATCCAAATTCTAGAAGGGGTTCATAGCCTGTCTGTTTTACTGTATCCGGATCGTCAGTTAGGGAACACCCCAGCACAACTCGTCTAGGCAGCGGATCTAGCACCTTAACGTGGAAGATGCAGATGACTGTGAGTTGAGTGCCTAGCGGTGAACGTATCAACTTTAGTTCTCGTGCAATGTCCATCAGCACCTGTCTGTTCCTTGGCAAGAGTCGAAGAAGATCCAGTGGAGGAAGACCGAGGGCTTATCAGTCGCACTCCTGCCGACTGTTCTCGTCCGGCGCCCCCACTTTGAGTGTCTTCTCTCTTGTCTCGCTCTCGCTCTCTCTCTCTCTTTTCTTTCCCCTAATTTCACTGACTCACTAGTTTGGATTGCTCATCATTATCGTGTGCGTTTCAGAATTTAATTTCCGCTAAGCTTTATCTTGCAATACCCAACGCCAATCACTCAAAAAATTGTCATCTCCCTTCCCGGCATTTGTACTCGTCTTGTTGGTTTCCATGTCTGCTGCGCTACAACTTGAAATCGCTCACAGTTGCTAAATTTGGGAGCAATCCTCTACTTGAATTTCTGTCGCATTGGATACAGTTTTCATTCTTACTCTCACTGAATCGGGAGCACGAGCGAGTCCAAGAGCCAGTTTGTCGATTTAATATATAGTAGCTGCAGCGCATTTCAGCGCGCTCTATCTTATTCTTTCTTCATATCACTCCTCCACCACAGCTATTTAATAGATTAGGAGGTTTATATCAGCTGTATCGGCTGTACTCGCTCCAGCTGTGGAGAGCTCTTCCCCCTCTGGGTCACGGATTGACTTCTAATTGACGCCACGAAAATGTCCTCAGCCAAGATTCCTTCTTCAGATCCCCCGGCAGGCCCAGGGGATAGCAAAGAAGGGCCTACCTCCACATATGCGCAATCATACGCAGTTTCAGGCTCATCCGAGGACACTATCGACCAAGTGGATGACCTGGCGCATATCCCCACGCGAGCCTCTCGAGCTTCGATACCTTCTCTAGCCCAAAGAGTCACGTCTATAGGGACGACTGGCACATCTGACCCGAACTACGAAGTTGATTGGGACGATGAGTTCGACACTAATAACCCGAAGAACTGGCCCTTCCCCTACAAAGCTATGGGAATCGCTATTCTATCATACAACACCTTGATTATGTGAGTCTGGCGCATCGCCTAGATACGCATTAAGCGACAACGACGCTAATACCTTTCAGCGTATTATACTCAACATCGTACACATCCGGAGAGTCGCAGATTGCAGCTGAATTTGGGGCCTCCACCACCATCGTTACGTTGGGATTGACTCTGTACCTCATCGGTCTGGCTGTGGGATCCATGTTTATGGCGCCACTAAGCGAATTGTACGGCCGAAAGCCAGTCTGCATAGCCTGCTTGTTTATCTTCACAGTATTGATCATACCTTGCGCGCTCGCCAAAAACCTTGCGACTCTGCTGGTTGTGCGCTTCATCGCAGCGTTGTTCGGAAGTGTAATGATTTCCACTGCGCCGGGGATGGTTGCGGACATAGTCGAAGATGACCAGCGCGCGCTGGCAATGTCGGTCTGGAGTCTCGGGCCCGTGAACGGACCAGGTAGGCATAACCACTCCCCCGCCAAAACCTACCTGTTATTGACCCTGCCCTAGTCCTCGGGCCCATTATTGGAGGTTTCGTCACCCAGTACCTGGGCTGGCGGTGGATGGATTGGATCGCTCTGATATTGTCTGGAGTCGCGTTGGTCTTTTCATGTATCATGAAGGAGACTTATGGCCCCATAATTCTGCAAAAGAAAGCCGCCCGCATGAGGAAAGAAACGGGCGACTCACGATGGTGGTGTCGATACGAACAGAAGGCCAGTCTGAGTGAACTGCTCAAGATAAATCTCGGCCGTCCGTTTGTAATGGCAGTCACTGAGCCTATTTGGTCAGTCTTTCCGAACCAGTACTCGCGTTGTCACTTCAAAGCTGATGTGCCTTTCATATAGTATATTCTGGAATATTTACATTGCCATCGTGTATGGCATCCTCTATCTCTGCTTCACAGCCTACCCTATCGTTTTCCGGGATATTCGCGGTTGGTCACTTGGTCTCTCCGGCCTCGCATTCTTGGGTATCGGAACTGGATGCGTGATCACCATCTCCAGCGAACCCTTGATCCGCCGCTTGATCAACAGTCATAAGCCGGACCCCGAAACAGGCAAACCACCCCCAGAAGCAATGGTGGCCTTTGTATGTATCTGCGCGCTCCTGATTCCCGCTGGAGAATTGTGGTTCGCCTGGACTTGTTCGCCCGCCTCGATTCCTTGGATTGTACCGATTCTCGCAGGTGTACTCTTCGGCACGGGCAACACGGGCGTTTTTATCTACGCGACCAATTACTTGGCTGGTAGTTACGGAGTATATGCAGCATCCGCGCTGGCAGGTAATTCCGTGATCCGCAGTATCTTGGGAGGTGTCTTGCCACTTGTTGGAACGTATATGTATGCCGGTATTGGTCCTAATTGGTCTGGGACCCTTTTGGGCTTGCTCGAGGTGGCTATCGTCCCGATCCCATTTATTTTCTACAAGTATGGCTACAAGATCCGGGAGAAGAGCGTGCTCATCCGGCGGATGCAGGAGGATAAGCGACGATTGGCGGGAAAGCGCCAACACCATACACAGCAGGTGGACAACCTTGAGAAAATCGAGGAGAAGGAAACGATGGAGGTATGAGGAAGGAGTGTGATTGAGACTGGTGACAGTAAATCGACATTAGGCGCAGGAGTACAGATGAGTTCTTGCGCAGAAAAGCATCCTTGCACAGTTGGAGTTTGGACGGGGAGCCTGACTTTTTCACCTTATAAGGAAACATTGGTCTGGATAATGTGATTATGTACATGTCTGCCAGGAAAGTCACGAAGTAATGGATTGAAGATCTCGGATACCATAGTATGGCACATAGAAAACAGTTGAATAATTGCTAGTCATTAATCAATATGTTGGTATGGGTTATCACCCTGTCCTCCGTACCCTCCTCTCCACGCCCAACGCTTCCTGCAGGATTCGCTCATACTCTCCCAACGCCACGGCGCCAGCTGGGAACACCATCACGGCTTCCACATACACTGAGTTGGGATTTGATTCTGAAACAGCAGAATCATCATCACTTCTCCTATATCTCCTTACATAGCCGAGCACATTTACCCACGCGCCAACAGACAGCTCCTGCGAGGTGACTGTCTCCAGCACCGCGTTGATATCAACGGCAACAGAGGGTGGCTCCTGTGGTGGTTTCTGACGCGGATAGTTGTGTTCAAGGATGAGATGCCCCGTTTGGATGTTGTATGTCCTCACGCTGAGAAAATCAGTTTCTTTACTACTATCTTCGTGAACAAGTGAAGAATCAAGCAGTTCTAGATAGTCTACGATATACAACATGTGAAATGATAAGATATACACATGGACAGACAAGGAACTCCACGCACCAACCAAGAAATCGGACCTTCGAGCTAACAGGAAGAGAAGGTAGATCGGAGAGAAATGCCCGCGTAGAAGGAAGAGGTGCGTTCATTCCAGCAGGTGAGATAGTCTCATAAAAGGGCCATCATATTGAGGAATGATCTCGAGGCAGCAGTAATCGATCACAAGGCAATCAATCAATCAATCAATCAATAATAAATAATTAATACCCGTGAAATACGATGACCGGCGTGACCCCATCCACGTGACCATATCACCCCGATAGGCTTAGCGCGGTATGTCATAGGGCCAACGAGGGGAAAACCAACTTGAATCCGGCCGGGGATCTCCTCCATCTCTTGCTCGCTCTTCTCTCGTCTCGGACCTTATCACTCTCTCTCTCTGTTCTGTCGCTTATCAAGGACCGCAGCCTTGCTCGACCTGGCTTAGGTGACTCGGAGCTGATCGACTCCCGCACCCTTCACCAGGATTAACCACCGTCCAGCGATCCCTCACCGATCCCGCCCCGTTGCCACGGACCATCATCTCTTTCCATCCCACCTTCCACCGATTCCAGAACCCGTCGTTACACTTCCTCCCGACTCAACACCAACGACTTCCCCCATCGGACGTCGAATCACTAGTCCCTAGCATCACCTCGATCATCGCAATAGCAACCACCTCTATCACAGCCTAATCAACCTTCATACACCCTTATCAACATGTGGTCTTGGTTCGGCGGATCCGCCGCTCAGAAGCGGAAAGATGCGCCCAAGAATGCGATCCTCATGCTACGCGAGCAGCTGGACATGCTCCAGAAGCGCGAGAAGCATCTGGAGAATCTGATGGAGGAGCAGGATGCAATTGCTCGGAAGAACGTAACGTCAAACAAGGCCGGTAGGTGACCGCGGGAAAAACAGTCAACTAGGCAACAACAAATAAAGACTAACAAGTTATTGATCTGTATAGCGGCTAAGAATGCCCTTCGACGGAAGAAGGTTCATGAGAAGAACCTCGAACAGACGACGGCGCAGATCGTTCAGCTAGAACAGCAGATCTACTCGATCGAGGCGGCGAATATCAACCAGGAGACTTTGAAGGCTATGGAGGCGGCTGGTGCGGCGATGGCGAAGATCCATGGCTCTATGACGATTGATAAGGTGGATGAGACGATGTATGTTGTTTCGTTATGGTATTATCTGCGAGTTGGGAATAGGGCAACTGACAATGGATTAGGGATACACTTCGCGAACAGCACCAACTCAGCACGGAAATCGCAACAGCCATTACAAGCACCTCTCTGGTCGATCAACCAGACGAGGCCGATTTGGAGGAGGAACTCGAGGGGTTGGAGCAGGAGGCCATGGACGAGCGGATGCTCAACACAGGTACTGTGCCGGTTGCAGACCAGCTCAACCGTTTACCTCCTGCGGCAAATGGAGAAAGTAAGCCACCGCCCTCACTCTTTCCTGTGAAACTATTTTAACATATATGCAACAGTCAAATCCAAACCCCAGACCGAAGAAGAAGACGAGGAAGCAGAACTGGAGAAGCTACGTGCGGAAATGGCCATGGGATAACTGGCCAGCTAGCTATTTTGTTTTCCTCCAATTCCTTACAGACTCGGGTTTCTTTCACCTCTCCTTCTTCCCTTTTTAATCATATGTGTCAAAGAACATGTGCTGCCTCCATTCCACCGTTTTGATTGATTGCGTTATTTGCGCCCCTTGGAGTTAGTTAACTTTTCTTTATTACTTGAATCCTTGCATGATGAAATGAAATCATTGTCTACTTATGTTCAGATTCTATCTTGTGATTGAATACATCCGCTAGTAGTAGAGTTGAATTGAGTAGCTGATCCTTAATATTTGGTTCATACATGAATACTACATAAAACCGTGTCTATTCTAGGTATCCATGTAATATCTACACATCATACTCAGGTACATGATCACACCTGTATTCTAGTGGTAGTCCTACAGCCTTGTCTAGTGCTTAGTTCTACGTATCGTAATCATGCTGCCTAGTACCCACTCATTCATCCATTCATCTATCATGAATACAATGGTAGTAAGTAGTAGTGGTCACGGTTGTATAAACAGACACACGTCGTTCACTGCTTACTATATAGGCATCCACCATAAGCATGTACTGTCACTAACGTTAACTATATTAGGACAGTGGGAGCCTAGCAGAACCCTACTACTAGTGGAATTCAGAGGATTAATTTATTATAGTCGAACCTTGATGATAATCCTTACGAATCACGCACGCTACTAGTCACGATGTAGACTATCAATGTCTAATATAATTCCCATCCATATATCCAACCATTTAGACCACAAAGTTGAAAGTATAACCTCCTAGTGACAAGGATAAAAGATGAGGTTTTTGATATTGGGGAAAAATAATAGTAGTTATACGGCAAATAGCTAAGAATAAAATATAAAGTAATAAGAATAGAATTGAGAAATGAGATAAAAGTAAAACACTCAGATATTGAAACGCTCAAACTCCCTTGTTTTTGGTAAATGATCTCGCAAACCCATCCGGAATGAAAACCCCCGCCCATTTGAGTGTGTGTTTGCCGAAGTGAAATGGAAATAATCAGTTAGATAGTTAGTTATACGTGAGCCCCCAATGAAAAAACGGTAAAGCCACTGGGAGGGAAGTGGTATAATAGGTAGCTAGTGTCCTTAGGTAAAGTCTCTGCAGTGGCTTGAAAGGGGTAGTAAAAGAGAGAGAAAAGGGGTATGAAGCGTGCATATCATGGAAACCAGGCGTAACTCTTGAGTAATTTGGCGCGAGCGCCGTCGTTCGCTTCGTGGCACCACTTGGATTTCCATGCCCACTCTTGCGCAGCCGCCTCGATGAGGGCTTCCTTGCACTCGGGAGGAAGTTCCTCCAGAATTTCGGGGCTCGTAAACTCGGGATTAGCGGAGTCAGCGACGCTGATTAGGCCGTTGGAGCCCAGATCGTGCACATCGCCGTCTGGGCCGGGAACGCCCAGGTTGGAGTACGGCGAAGATTCAAACTGGATATCATGAATGGCGAATCGGCGGGACAGCGCAGCTGGGACTGAGGAGAAGAGGGTGGATTCGGTGGTTTGCTGTTCAGGTTGGCTGTCGCTGGGTTCGTTGGCTTCCCTGTCAACAGCAGCTGGCTCTGCTTCGCTGGTGCCGTTCGTCAGGCTCAGGGTGGACATGCCCTGAGCTAATTTGGTTGCAACTCGAGGATCGGGAGGTGGCAGACGCTCCCAGCGGGCGTGCGTCGGTTGCATAATCTTGGGGTACTGCATGACGTTGGTGTGGATGTCATACTGTCCTTCAAGGTTTTCGCGGCGCGCAAGAGATATGAGTGAGTTAAAGTTGCTACATGTATGTTAGTTTCCAAAAGATGTCTAAACAAAGTAGTTAAGACATACCTCGCCTCTCGGGCATGTTCGAGCATCCAGTTGTCACCAGTAACTGTAACCTTACGTTTCTTCGAATCCACCGCCTTTCCGGTGGGCAACGGCACCGACGGAGCGCTGGTGTGATAGACACTACTGGCACCGTGCCAGGCCACGTATTGATTCTTGTTGTAAGGCTCGCCTGGGGCAGGGAGCTTATCTTCCGGGACGGCAAGTTCGCCCTCGACATCCCCACGCTCCCTCGCGGCCTGGGTATGGTAATCATCGGTGACCTTCTTTCCACCAACAATAATCTTTGCACCAAATTCCCGGAACACAGACCGAGCGGTGACAACACCGATAGCTCGGCCTTTGTAAGAGTGGGGGATAATCTCTCGTTCGATGAGATCGCGTTTCGCCTCGTCGTCGATGATGATCTTATAGAGGAGTTTGTGCTTCTGGAAAAACAGGTACGAGTCCCTGAAACCAATGCATCGCGCAGGCTCAGTAGACAACATGTATTTGCGATCACCACGGTTGAGAATCGTAAACACACGGACCCTATATTCTCGGTCGCCCAGCAGGTTGCCGTTCTTGTCCACCTTTGTCTCGCCCTCGGGGTCGTCTGGGAGAGCAACTTCGTCGTCGATAACGTCCATCATGTTGCCCTCCTTATCGATCGGAACCTGGGTAACATGCGACGGGCCCCGGTTACGTGCCCACCTACCACCACTAGCAGCGGGACGACCGCGCCTTCGCTTGACCGGTGTGGATGTATGAATCGGAGTCTGAGGGGCGCCATCATCAGGCGCATCCCAGTCTGGGGGGCGGTTCTTCGGAGGACGGCCTATGCGGCGCTTTCGTGGGATGGCTGACATGCGGCCACCCATGCGTGTAGGAGTATCGCCGCGCGATGGAGGGTTCGAATCCTGGGCGGGCGTTGCGGCTGCCTCTTCCTCCTGGCTGGGTTCTGCCTGGGCTTCCACCTCAGGATCCTTATCGGAAGCATCACCTGGATCTTCCATCGCTGGCGATGATCCACGCGATGGGGGTGCTTCAATCATCTCCTCGTCCGAAACGTCGGGGAGCGGAGGGGCGGCATTCCCTACTGGGTAATTAGTTGTTCGCGTCCGTGACGACCGAGGCCGCGGCGACCAAGGAAAGGGTAAGGTGAAAACCGAGGAGGTCACTTACGCATTGATTGCGCAGCTGCTTGAGCAGCCGCACGAAGTTTCCTAGCCATACCGACGGTGAATGGGTAAGATAGGCAATGGACGCCGACCTAGAATTTCCTGGAGCGACAGAGCTGAATGGAGGCCCTTGGGGACGTTCCTTTCCGCAGCCATTCGCGCTAGAGCCAGACGGGACTAGGTTTCTCCGAGTAGCCGGGCTTTTTTGTCACGTGACCGAAAAGAAACACCCCTGATGCCTGAGGCAAATAGAGTTGTTCCAGCCACGTGCCGAACCAATGATGGAGATAATCGGAGACCCTCATCGAGGCTGGAGTCAGTTTGGCGCTTCCTGCACCATGATGTCATGGTCCCTTTCCGCTGATCGCCGACGGTTCGTTCCTTCGAACTGATTCGTGATCGCGCGGCCATCTTGTGTTGCCCGTTTCCCGCTGAACAGTTATCGGCTTCCCCGTGTAGATACATCCCCTTAACCCCCTAGTATTACTACTACTCCTACACGGCGTGTAGCAAGTGCAATATGCGGGATTTCCTC